TGGTGTGTGTGTTTCAGTGCACGTTGGTGTGTGTGTTTCAGTGCACGTTGGTGTGTGTGTTTCAGTGCACGTTGGTGTGTGTGTTTCAGTGCACGTTGGTGTGTGTGTTTCAGTGCACATTGGTGTGTGTGTTTCAGTGCACGTTGGTGTGTGTGTGTGAGTTTTCCTGACCTCCATTAGTTTCCTGTCCAACAGGAAATGTGACAATACTGCAGTTCCACACCCTGAACCTTATGTGTGTGTGTTTGTGCACATCAGTGTGTGTGTTTGTGTGTCTGTGGTGATGTATGATTTCTGTGCTGAACCTGGTTCCCATAAAAACCCAACGTATTGTTTCCCAGCTCCCTCAGGACACACAGTGTGTGTTCATGTTGTCAGAGCAGCAGGCTCAGGTCCATCAGGGTTCTCTGTTTCCTCTCAGACCCTCAGCAGGTCTGAAGAACATCTCTGCACAGTAACTGTTAGAAACTCCTCCTTTCATGTAAACAGATAAATAGCTGGTATTTCTTTGCCCTTTAAAGGCAGTAATTCTTCTCATCAGAACAAAGTGGTGAGAACAGCAGTTCTAATTAGAATCTGCTGAGAACCTGACAAAAAGGCTTTTTTCACTTCTAACTCAGCTTAGTTTTGTGCTGCGTGTCCTTTACCTGAATGTTGGCTTTAATAGCAGCACAAGCAGGAGGACATGAATTATCTGTTTAATGTCAGCCTGTTAGAAAGTTACAGCCTCCACATGCAGCAGCAGAAAGACTTAATAAAAGTGAAGGAGAGAGTGATGGAGGAGAGGCAGCGCTGACCTTTCTGTGGAGCTGAATAATGAAGCAACGGGTGGAGGAGAATGTGTCAGCTGCTGTGTGAGCACAGACCCAGTCAATATTCTACAGCAGAACATGGTTCTGAACAGCTGCAGAGCTTCAGGGAGGCCACAGGAAACTAACTGTAGTGTTCATGTGTTCCTCAGACAGGTCATTTCCCACAATGCACCTGTTNTAGGTATTTTACAGTGCACATAGTTGTATGTTACAGTGCACGTAGGTGTGTTTCTGTGCACGTAGGTATGTTACAGTGCACATAGGTGTATGCTACTGCGCACATAGGTGTGTTTCTGTGCACGTAGGTGTGTTACAGTGCACGCAGGTGTGTTACAGTGCACGCAGGTGTGTTACAGTGCACGCAGGTGTGTTACAGTGCACGTAAGTGTGTTTCGGTGTACGTGGTTGTGTGTTACAGTGCACAGTAGGACTGCAACAATGAATCGATAAAATCAATAAAAATCGATAATTAAAAGCTTTGGCAACGAATTTCATTATAGATTTGTTGTGTTGCGTGTTTTATGCGTCCCTCTTATGTCGCGGAGTCGTTTACATCACCTGCAGACTGTTGTCAATGCTGGCTGACTTAAAGAAAGTTTGGGATGAAAAAAAACTCTACCTGTAAAGATCTGCCCTCTGAGACCCTCGAGTGAAAAGTAGAGTCTTCAAACTTTAAACCAGTTTTTAAAGTCAAAAATGAAATAATAAATAGGTCCTCTGGATGGTTCTTCTTCAGTGAAATGTTTCATCTCTCCTCAAAGAGACTTCTTCAGTCTGATGAACTCAGCCTTATAAGCTCCGCCTCCACCTGGACAAACAGGTTAGTCACATGCAAAAGAGGACCATCGACTAACAATAGGCTTGATTGGCTCTATTGTTCATAGAGGGTCATGTGACCCTCTTGATTCAAGAGAAAACTCTGGTTTTTATGAAAATGACTGCTGATCAATTAATCGTTAGTCAATCTATAAGATAAATCAACTTCAGACAACTTCACATTCATCGATAACTGACATCCCTAATTTATACAGGAATTAAATTAATTTATATCTACTTATATTCATGTAGTGTCAAAATAATTTGGCCGATTAATCAGTTAATAAAAAATAATTGACAGATTAATCGATTATTAAAATAATCGTTAGTTGCAGCCCTAGTAAACGTTGGTGTGTGTGTTTCAGTGCACGTTGGTGTGTGTGTTTCAGTGCACGTTGGTGTGTGTGTTTCAGTGCACGTTGGTGTGTGTGTTTCAGTGCACGTTGGTGTG